ACACACACTACACACACGACACGACACACACACACACACACACACACACACACACACACACACACACACACACACACACACTCAAACACAATATATATATATATATATATAATAGTGCTACGAGGCTCATTCGCGGGATTCGCGCTCACACAGCAGATGCGATATACATAATTGCAGGGGTTAATAATGACAAAGTTTTGTCATTATTAACCCCTGATAATTGTCGTCTATATCATAGGAAGCGATACAACAGCGAGAATAAAAAGGTTATACGTACGAACGTCCAACTCTGAAAAGGCAGATCCCAAATTTACGAGCACCAACAGAGTCAACACCAAACCTCCAACCATTGCCCGTTCTTTACATTTATGCCACGGACCTCTTATATCCTACGTGATTGACAGTGGCAAGAGCTGTCTCGCAATCCGCCGTAGGTACGTGCTGTATGCGCACTAGATACAATAACTAATGTAAACCAACACAAGTGTCCCCCTACACTTATATATATATATATATATATATATTCGAGGGCGGCGCGGGTACNCATCATCTCTATTCTTGAACAGCAGCGGCTCCATTCAGGCGATCGGCCGTTCAAGCCGGTACGGGAGATTACGGTACACATATATTTGCTAATATATTGACTAATCGTGCATCAATAAACTCAATATTCACAGAGAGTATAGCTAAGACATGTGTCTATAGGTATCTAGAATATTAAAAATTTAATCATCTGAAATTTGCTTCTGCGCGCATAACTAATCGTGCAGGACTAGCATGACTAATTGTGCCGCTTCGTGTGTCAATAAACTCAATATTCACAGCTAGTAGTAGTATGAATTTAAGCCGGTACGGGAGATCTTTTGCATAATACATTCTAGATACCTATAGACACATGTCTTGGCTATACTCTCTGTGAATATTGAGTTTATTGACGCACGATTAGTCAATCTATTACTTTAGCAAATATATGCGTACAGTCATCTCCCGTACCGGCTTGAATATAGACGCTCCCAGCGGATTCGATGAGTTGTTTTGACATTTGAAGCATTTGACGAATCAATTGTTGCAAATAATTTTAATAAGTATTTCACAAGTGTGGCCTCAAACTTGGTGAACGATCTACCACAAAAGGAAGGGACGTATGATGAGATTAGTCTTTAAAATTAGGCAGTGGCTACGGGTACGGTAGCCGTATCTTAATGTCTCGAGGCTACGGGTACGGGAGTCCATTCGCTTTCATACTTAACGAGACAAAGATGGCGGCGGTGGCGCCAGATTTCGAAATAACGCCTTGGGAAATAAATTCACGATTTGAGAGTTTAGGTGAGCTAGAACCCTAACCCTAAACCTAACCCTAACCATAACCCTAAACCTAACCCTAACCCTAAACCTAACCCTAACCATAACCCTAAACCTAACCCTAACCCTAACCCTAACCATAACGCCAAAAAGGGGCTTGAACGACCGACGGCTACCGTACCTCTAACCACTGCGTTAAAATTATATTATTATCTAGGGACAAAGGTGCATAGTAGAAAATTTATTTACTTTTACAACGGTGGGAGAGGAAGAGGTACGGGTGCTGAAAAACATTAATACAGGTACTGGTAAGGCTATTGGGTTAGATAATATTCCCGCAAAATTTATAAAAGATGGATCAAACGTTATATTTGCTTAGCTCTTACACATGTAATCAACATGTCATTCATCCAAGGAAAAATCCCTGATGACATGAGCCTTCGGAAGGGTCATTCCGATACATAAAAAAAATAGCAAAACAGAAACCGGAAACTATATAGGCCTGTGTCAATTTTAAGTGTCATGTCCAAAGTTTTCCAAGAGCGAATAGCTAGCCTATAACGTAGAGAAATATTTAATAGAAAATTCATTGCTGTACGAGTTCCAATCTGGCTTTAGATCAAATTTCTCAACTGACACAAGTTTAATTCATCTAACTGATATTATTCGTAATGAGTTGGACAAAGGAAATCTATCTGGTATGATTTTATTAGATCTTCAAAAAGCTTTTGATATACTGTTGACCATAAAATTCTACTAGCCAAGCTAAAAATTATGGGAATGGATATTAGGACTGTAAAATGGTTCGGTGCTTATCTCTCTGGTAGAAGCTAAATAACTGATGTAGGAGGTATACCTTCTCTAATAAGGACCCTATTGCATGTTGAGTACCACAAGGCTCGATTTTGGGTCCTCTGTTATTTCTGATTTATGTTAATAACATGGCAAAGGCAGTTAACGTCAAGCTTTTATTATATGCTGACGATTCGGCCTTAGTAGTTTCAGGGACAGAGGTACAGGCTATACATGAAGAATTAAGTAGAGAATTGCATTCCATTAATAATTGGCTCAATGATAATAATTTATCCTTGCATCTTGGAAAAACAGACTTCCATTTTTTTGGAACTAAACACAAACTCAGGGATAATCCAAAACTGGATATCAGATGTAATGGGGTGGCAATTGCACATAAAAATACAGTTAAGTATCTAGGAATAGACTTGGAAGACTCCATGAGTGGTGAGGTAACGGGAATTAAGGTTGTAAAAAAGGTTAACAATAGATTTGAATTTTGAATTTGAATGAAATTTCTTTCCAGAAAAGCTATGTATTTAAACACGGCATGTAAAAGATTACTAGTTTCTTCCATTCAATATGTCATTTTGACTATGCAAGCAGTATATGGTACAGCAGTCTCACAAAGCGCACAAGGGCTAACCTGCAAGGGTGTCAAAATAAAGCCATTAGTAATTAGATGTGTTCTCAACCTAGGTAGTAGGTACTAGAATACACATAGGTGCTAGAGAGTTCATATATCGCATCTAACTGCCGGGTGCCCCCTTGGCTCGTGCCCAAGCGTTCGTGAAAAAGCAGCATCTGCATGTCTATTTAGATTCAATAATGTAACCCAGCAAAGTAAAATAATAATGTTGTATTACATTATTGCATCTACAGTCTATCTATGTGTTGTATGTCTTTGAAGCACATATGATTAGTGTACAATCCACTGGGCTGTATATAACAGAGTTATTACAGCTCAGTGGTGAGTGGTGCCATTCGAAGACTCAGTGACCAAAGATCCTATAGTGCCGTAGTGCCATTCACTCTACGATCTTTGTCAGTGACTGCTGGACTGCTGAGACTGCTGGATGGAGCTATAGATGGCGCCCCCTACATGACCGGTGCCCACGCTAACATTTGTTATGGCATCTGTGATTGGTTACTCTATACAAGAGGTAAGCTTCGATTGGTGGGTAAGGCAATGCTGTTTAAAGTGGGATTACAAAACCCTCAGCCACGAAGAAAATAACTGGCTTTAGTACACTTACTGCATATTTTGTAACAATTTTGCAGCTATATCGGCAGTCAGCATCAATTTATCTATACCAGATGTCATCAAAGGCAAAGAGGTAACTAGAATAACATTTGGCATTACTAACATGCTGACATAGTACTATTTTCAATTTGTTATTATTACTATTTCTATAGCCGGTAACTTCTTGATTGACAGCTAGGCCTAGCGTTTAAATGGCAAGCTGGCAACAAACCAGCGTTACAAATCTAACACTGATCTAAATCTGACACTGTCGCCCCTATTAAACAAGTTAGAATATAACAAAGAATAGATACAATAATGTAACCCAAACCCAAGAGGATAGGGGGTAATAATGTAACCCCTATCCTCTTTTGGGTTTGGGTTACATTATTGTATCTAAACAAAGAACTGAGCCATGGTTTGATTGTGAGATTAGGGAGCTTATTCTGGAACAAGATAGAAAATTACTGCTTCATAAGAGGAGTAAAGATGAATTTACATACAAGGATTTTAGATTGCTTAGAAACAAAGTTCAAAATAAAATTAAGAAAGCAAAGGCTACTTACGCTCATAGGGTCTATGTCCCCCAGGGTACTGCCGGAACGTACCATGGTCACTATTTGATATGGTTAGGGTTAGGATTAGGGTTAGAGTTAGGCCGGGTTAGGATAAGGGTTAGAGTTAGGCCGGGTTAGGATTAGGGTTAGAGTTAGGCCGGGTTAGGATTAGGGTTAGAGTTAGGCCGGGTTAGGATTAGGGTTAGAGTTAGGCCGGGTTAGGATAAGGGTTAGAGTTAGGCCGGGTTAGGATTAGGGTTAGAGTTAGGCCGGGTTAGAGTTAGGGAGTAGGCGTAGGCGACTCCCTAGACTCGTTAGTGAAGTAGGCGAGGTACTGTCCGGCATATTACATAGTACCTGGGTACGTTCCGGTATACCGGACCGTACCCAGGATACGTTCCGGCAGTACCCTGGGGGACATAGACCCTCTCAGCGCTACTTACTATACGGAAAAGGTTGAGGACCACAAAAATGACCCTAACAAATTATGGCAGACTTTGAAGAGTATGAGAATGAAAAATAAGGGAATCAGTAACTTGGGCGTGGTATAGGTGCGGGCGGACATCCGGGAACTTTTGACTATTTGACCGGATGTAGATTCGAGCCAATGAACAACCCGTAGTAACACACGCTCAATGCCACGCAGCGCCATAGGCCAAGCTGAATTTAAATACATTGTGGTGTTGGATGCCGCCAATCACAGTCCTCTTCAAGTGACAAGAATATGATCATTCTTTGAGCTGCCTAGCTCGAGAGGAGAGACGCATGGCAACCAGCAATTCAGTCAACGAGAACGAGACGGCCGTAGCCAATGGTGGAAAACAGTGTCGAAAACGGGCGAGTAGCTCTCGCTGAAAAAGCAGTTTTTGCACACTTCTGCTGAAGTCCACATAATGTTTCTCGGTCGAAAAATGAAACAGAAGAAGACCCTTAAGAACACCCGTGCTCGCAGTTGAAAATGCGGCTACCCCACCATCTTACGGAAAATGACATAGTCTCAATCCTGGACATCATCTCTACTCTTGAACAGCATCGGCACTCCACTTCAGGCGGTCCGGCACGTTCAAGCCGATACTCCGGAGATTACCTACACATATATTTGCTCAATATAATGCACTAATCGTTCTCAATTACTGCAATATTCACGAGAGTATAAGCTAAAGACATGTAGTCTATAGAGTGAATACTAAGAATTATTAAAAATTTAAATCATCCTGAATTTTGCTTCTGCGCGCCGTAACTAATCGTGCAAGGGACAAACAAAAAAAAAAAAAAAAAAATAGCATGACTAATTTGTTGCCGCTTCGCTGTGTCAATAAACCCAATATTCCAGCTGTAGTAGTTATGAATTCAAGCCGTACGGAGACTTTCTGCATTTAATACCATTCTAGATACCTATAGACATGTCTTAGCTATACATCTCTGTCAATATTAGATCTTATTGAACGCCCACGATTAGGTCAGATCTATACTATTAGCCAAAATATATGAGTACAGATCATCTCTGGTACCGGCTTAATATAGACGCTCCAGCGGTTCGCGCTTTTTTCATCGCTCGCGGCCCACCGACGTATTGCTAAGGGAATTACGTCACTCGCCCCACCTATATACTATACTAGCAGGCTAAAAAAATTATGAGAAAATATATGTTTGACACATTCAAATGTGAAGCATTTGACGAACTCAATTGTTTGACAAACTTAATTTTAAACAGTATTTCAACAAGTGTGGCGCCTCAACATTGGTGAGATTACCACAACAAGGAAGGCGACTTATGATGAGATTAGTCTTAAAATTACGGAAAGTGGCTACGGGCTACGGTAGCCGTATCTTAATGTCTCCGAGGCTACGGTTACGGGAGTCCATGTCGGCTTTCATATTAACGAGACAAAGTATGGCACGCGGTGGCGCAGATTCGCAAATAAACGCCTTGGGAAATCAAATTTCACGATTTGAGAGTTTAGTGGAGCTCAGAACCCTAACCTACCTAAACCTCAACCCTAACCATAACCCTCAAACCTAAGCCCTAACCCTAATCTACCCTAACCCTAACATCAACGCCAAGAAAAGGGGCTTGAACACCGACGGCTCCACCGTTACTCTAGCCACTCGTTAAAATTATTTATTCATCTAGGCCGACCAGAGGTGATAGCCAGACAAATTCATTCTACTTTATACAAACGTGGGAGATGCGAAGAGTACGGGTGCCTGAACAAACATTAATAAGGTCACTGCGTAAGGCTAATTGGGTTAGATATATTCCCGCAAAATTCTATAAAAGATGACCAACGTTATATTGCTCAGCTCTGTAACATGTAATCACACAGTCATTCATCCATAAGGAAAAATCCCTGATGACATGAGCTTCGGAAGGGTCATTCGATACATAAAAACATGCAAAACAGATCCGGAAACTATATAGTGCCTGTGTCAATTTTCAGTGTTCATGTCCAAGAGTTTTCAAGAGCGATAGCTAGCCTATAACGTAGAGCAAATATTTAATAAAAATTTCAGTTGCTCGTACGGAGTTCCAATATGCCTTTAGATTCATAATTTTTCTCACTGGCACACAAGTCTTAATTCATCTAACTCATTTTCTCGTAATGCAGTCGGACAAAAGAATCGTATCTGTATTTGCGCCGCCGCCGGCCCGGGGGGCGGGCGGGGCCCGCGCGCCCCCGGGCCGGGCGACCGGCCACCGGCTGGCGGCGCACCGGGGGGGCGGGCGCGGCCGCCCTTTATTTAAGATCTTCAAAAAGCTTTATGATATACTGCTTGACATAAAATTCTACTACCAAGCTCAAATTATGGGAATGGATATTAGGACTGTAAAATGGTTCGGTGCTTATCTCTCTGGTAGAAGCTAAATAACTGATGTAGGAGGTATACCTTCTCTAATAAGGACCCTATTGCATGTTGAGTACCACAAGGCTCGATTTTGGGTCCTCTGTTATTTCTGATTTATGTTAATAACATGGCAAAGGCAGTTAACGTCAAGCTTTTATTATATGCTGACGATTCGGCCTTAGTAGTTTCAGGGACAGAGGTACAGGCTATACATGAAGAATTAAGTAGAGAATTGCATTCCATTAATAATTGGCTCAATGATAATAATTTATCCTTGCATCTTGGAAAAACAGACTTCCATTTTTTTGGAACTAAACACAAACTCAGGGATAATCCAAAACTGGATATCAGATGTAATGGGGTGGCAATTGCACATAAAAATACAGTTAAGTATCTAGGAATAGACTTGGAAGACTCCATGAGTGGTGAGGTAACGGGAATTAAGGTTGTAAAAAAGGTTAACAATAGATTTGAATTTTGAATTTGAATGAAATTTCTTTCCAGAAAAGCTATGTATTTAAACACGGCATGTAAAAGATTACTAGTTTCTTCCATTCAATATGTCATTTTGACTATGCAAGCAGTATATGGTACAGCAGTCTCACAAAGCGCACAAGGGCTAACCTGCAAGGGTGTCAAAATAAAGCCATTAGTAATTAGATGTGTTCTCAACCTAGGTAGTAGGTACTAGAATACACATAGGTGCTAGAGAGTTCAAGGCTGTAAATTGGGTACCTGTAGAGTTCAGGGTAATGCAACTGAAGGTCAATAGCGTTTTTAAAATATTACATAATCTTGGCCCACAGTATATGACAGAGAAGGTTCCATGTTAACGTCAGAAGTCCATAGTTTCAATACAAGGGAAGGTGAGATGTCTATTTTTAAACCGAGGGTGGGAAGCAGTGGGAAAAACTGCAATTGAAGCTTGGAACTCTCTACCACAGCAAGTTAGGACAAATTCTGTTTATTCTAGTTTTAAGTATAGTGTTAAGAAATGTCTGATGGAAAAGGTAGAAACATTAGAGGCAGAGGAGTATGATTTTCGCTAAAATAATTCGGTTGAAATTAGTCGCTAATAATACATACATGTATAATGATCAAGCTCTTGATAATATTATAATCTCGTAATAACATCAAATTGATCAGCTAAATGGTTGAATACATGTATGGGAAGTGTGTTGCCAACATGAGCATATATATCACTATAGTTATGAGCCCCTATGCTTCATCTCTGGCAGAGCGAAGAGCTATTTAAGTAGAGCTAATCTGTATATATATTGCCATGCAAATTTAATATCATTATGAATGCAGCTTGAGGCAGCTGTGAGAATAACAGCTGTCTTAAAATACATGACTGTTTCTTAAAGCGATGAGGCACTATTACTATGCAAGAATAATGTGGCAACCAAATGGTAATATAAATATTATTAATGTTGAAGTTTTATTTTTTTTCAGTAAACTTCCTCGCCCAGTTGGCAGCAGAACTAGAGACTCAATTTTAGCTGGGAGATCATCCTTCATTGTTTCTAAATCTAAATTAGCAACTATAAGCTCCAAACCCTCAAATGTGAACAGCAAGACGAGCCGGGTTAAGCCTATCCCAAACTTCAATCAGCTTCATCAGCAGTGGCAATCACAACTCGATAGAGGGAAGTTGTGCTGCAAAAAAGCCAATACCAGTGTAAGGATGGTTGTAGTTTAAAGACAACTCGGTTTCACAGCAAAATGGTCATTAATTTAGTATATATACATGTCGGTTTATAAAATTATACTGTTTAGAAGATTTTCCTATATAAGTACATCAAGACAGATATCTGCATAATTGTGTCATCTTAAATTGCTATAAAGATTAGTTGGCTATTTTCATTCCAATCTTACTGGATATTTTTTTATCAGGTGCACGAGTTTGATTTCAATAGTCAATTGAGTTATGCACCTACCCAGCCAAAGGATGTTCTATGGGAGCAGGACTTTGAAGCTGATCCGGAGGCACTACAGAGTATTTTGAAGCATGAAGGTCTCTCACAACATTCAGTGTTACAAGGCAGAGCGACTATAGCTGCTGTACCTAGGTATAGTCCTTCAAGTGTTTCTTTTCAAGTATACATGCATTTAAATGACTAGGTTACATGGTAGGTGAGAAAAATGAGTAAGGAATGTTCTTTTGCATTTAGGTTTTGCATAAAATCCAATTGCTATCATGAGAAAATATATTCCAGAGCGTTTTTTCCTAATACTGATAGGAAGTTTCCCATGATTGCTTAAAATGTGGGCCGTTATGATTTATGTACCTTTCAATTTTGTAACATCTATTTTTTAGTGAGATACACAATTAAAGCTAAGTGCCTATCTAAAGTTCTAATGCATTAGTCTAACAGTATGTCAAACGTTGCAAAGCCCATGTGACAGTTGATGGATCATATTGCTAGGCATGTAGTTATATTGAAACTGATTTACTGTAGGTACACATTCTGCAATCGTCTTTTCAGAAATAGAAAAGGTAGTGAGCACACTGCAAAATCGGGCACTCAACGCATCCAGCATAAAACTCCCAGCACCCCCCAGTCGAGACGTGTTCTAGGTCAGCTTCCAAGCGATTTTTTACGCACACGACTCAACAATGATTCATCTGGTAACTCTAGCCGGACAAACATACAGCAGAAGTCGGGGAATAGAAGCAATGGGTTGATCGGCTCCAGTAAGAAGCCGAGAAAATCATTTGTGGAAGAGCAGGAAGGTAATATAGCGGGAGTTTGTGATAAGAATATCCCATGAAAGCATCATTTATCTATAATCCAAAGTTATGGTAAACGAACCATCAGCATTAATTAGTATCATATTGTAATTACACATATTCTATTCAGCACATTTATATATCAGAGAAATTCAGAATGTCGGGAGGAAAGAAACACGTGTTTCATATTTCAGCATATAACATTGAATTTGAAGTCGACAATAATGCCCTGGCAAGCATAATCGATAATACGGGTATTGCTGGAGCCCTCCGGAAGCAGCCAGTGGCCAACAATATAACCCGACAGACATATGGCGGTAGGAGTACACGAAAACAGCAGCAGCCTAGAGAGGTGAGCTCTGCTCAACTTGTCTTGCAAAACTTTGCAGCTTGCATTGGTATAGATTGCATCGCATCGCAACATCTACTTTGTTTCAGTTTCCAAAAAATAGTCTGCGTTATATCAGAATTGTGTGTCTTTCTAGCTTTCACATATTTTTGCCAATGTTTATCGTAGTAAGTTAACTTCAGCTCAGGTGTGTCTATAGCCATATGTTATTTCACAGGTGACTGATAGATCTTTATAAAATGAATGTTTTTGTTGTAGGCAAGAACTGGTTTAAGTGTGAGCATTGATTGGTTTTCCATGTTTTTTTTTTACTTAGGGGCCAAGAATGTCTATATATGATGCTGTTTCTCGACCATACCAAAATGCTAACGAATTTTACACTTCATACAGAGACAGAATGAAACGAGTGTTTTCTGAGTTGGATGAGAATGATGAAAATGATGGCAAGTTAATGTTTATATATTTATATATGTATGTATGTATAATGTTTGTTATTCCGTTCTGTAATCAATCACACTGCTTTGTGTTATGGATACAAGCATCAGGTATTATTAATTATAATTATAATTATTAATTAGGCATGTATTTAGCTATTTGAAAAATTGTAATGGGACCTCTCTAATACATTAGGCATAGGATTAGTAGAATACCTTGTCTCTAGTTTATAAAGTTTGAAGTAAACGAGTACTCCCGAGGAACAACTGTGTGTCATGAAATTTACTCTTCACTAAAGGTATAGTAGATATTGCAAAGATTTGGGAAATCACAATTTTATATGTGTTGCCACTGTAGCACCTCTCCGACCGTCACTACATGGCAAGGTTCAACAGAGTAACCATGGTAACAAACATACACCGGCAGCAATGAGGATGCCAGCACAGGAGAGGGCTCATGCAACCAGGCATGTCAGAGTTACAATAATTTGTTGAGTTGCGAGCACTCACTGATTTGATGCCCTAACAACTTCAGTATAGATAATTTTAATAACAGATTGATAGCGCTATAATATCACATTATATGTTTAAGATTCATAATTTTGAAACACAATATACACAGAATGAACACAGATCTCACAGAAAAATTAGAATAAATATGAGTAACACCATATTTATATATACCCAACGTTATTGGCATATATGTATATGTATATATGTGTGCGTGTGTGGTTGTGTGTGTGTGCGTGCGTGCCTGTGCGTGCGTGCGTGCGTGCTTGTACGTGTGTGTGTGTATATTCACATTCTCATTTCATATTTGTAGGTCATCCTTGTATAATGCTTACACACCCAAAGCTATGGTCACCAGCCCAACATCCATGCTTCTACAGAGGACTAGCAGGCTGTCGATATACGACTCAGTGCGGATAACTAACGTCTTTGGCCACATGGAGCCAAAAGTTAGTAGCACGCAGAAGATGAGTGCACAAAGAATGGTAATTTAAGTTAATAAGCACTGCATTATAACTCGATAGCAACTAGCAGTTTGAAAACAGTTTCGTTTGTTCTTGAGAAGAGCAAAGAACCACGTACAGACGTATGGTGCTTGTGAAGTGAAATGCTTGAGTATGTTGTAGTTTCTCACTTGGGTCATTAGGGAAGTGTGGAATGAATGGTTGGGTACCTCTACTGCAGGCACGTCGGGTGCCCAAGGATATGAAACCTTCACCAGTCCTGCAAAATGATAGAGTCACTACTGAACAAAAGACAGGCAAGAAGAAGAACCAGGAGAATTTGGATCACATGGCCAACAAAGATGTATCGCACAGCAGAGTGCAAAAGGTTTTTCACACCAAAAAAAATCGATATAATTTTGGTTAACTTTTAAAGATGTATGTACCAATATTATAGAGCTGTAGTGTACATCAAAATACATAGTAAGTGCTATCTGAATCTTTCAATTTTCGTACATCGGATATACTGTTTAATACTGTACACATGCGTATGGGTATGTTTGTGTATAATGTGTTTTGTTCGTAGGACGTGGTGGCCAAAACATTGACCTTTGGAGAGGATCCGCCATTGCCGATTGCTGGAGAAAGCTGCCGGTCTTATGAATGCAGTCCCGATAACAGTGCGAGCTTGGACGACAGCCTCGGTCTAAACACGACAGTATTCAATCAGCTAAAGGTGGAAAACATTAAAATCTATGCACATAATAAGAATCTATATCTGATTATTTATATGTCTATAGAATAATAAGGGAACATAAAGTAACAGCTTTAAAATGCTGCATGCTGTTGCAAATAGTTTTGTAGATGTAGTGTTTTATATTTCTGTTTAAATTTAGGAGCTGGATGAGAAAGAGAAACTCCTAGAGCTGGAAATTCAACGGATAGCAGAAGCTGAAGGTCACAACGGTGAAGGTCACAGTCGAGCCAAAGATTTCCTACTCGATCGGACTACGGACTCGATCAGCGAGCCGATTGCTCACATGCACACAACACACAGTGGGACTGTACAGGTCAGTTTATTAGCTTTATTATGTCACAAGATGTGACAACCGGGAAGGTTAAACCAATTCTCACTCTGATTGTTTGCATGCATCTTTCCCACATTATTTGTCTATGCAAGTTAATGCTCATGATATGCACAATAACATATGCACATGTGATAACACGATTTTTATGGTGAGCATGGCAGCGAGGGGTTAGGCAAACACGATTTTCGTTGGGAGGTGTTAGCAAACAATGTCGGTTGTATTGTTAAAATGATTTGTGACATATCCTCTCGCAGAATCGTGGTCAGCCGAATCAGCTTCAGCAGCAGCAGCAGCGGCAGCGGCCAGAGTCGGGGACGCAGAGCAGCGAGGATGACCGTCAGCCGAATCGTCCGTGCGGTTACAACGTTGGAGAGCTGGCGGGGTGTCTCGGTCGAGGCGCGGCTGCGTCTGGTAGGTCACGTAATGCGCGCACCGACCCGCGCGTGAGAGCGTGGAGAGAGGACACCGAGTCGGTGACGGAGAAGGTGACAGATCGACGACGTCTGGGGAGAACCGCCTCACAGCAGCAGCCAGCAGTCGCAGGTGGCACCTCCTCGGACAGCGCGAGAAGCTGCGTCGCGGAGGCGAGTGAGACACGCGAGGCAAAGTCGAACGACAGCGGCAGCGCTACGAGCGCGAGCGAGGCGAGGGAGGTCGGCGAGTCGAGGCGGCCCCTGTTCTACGACGACACGACGAGCCAGCACATACTGCAGTGCCTGGAGCTGATCCAGAAGCAGCAGATGGAGCTGCTTCGGCTACAGGCATCCTCTGTCGGGGCCACGCACGGCATCTCCAAAACCGTTGATATAGAGGGCAGCATTGATCTTCTCCAGAGGGAGCTGCAGACGCTGATGTCAAGCTCTTCTGCAGCGAAGAAGCAAGACTCGAGCTTCCTCTCTGGGAAGAGCCACTCTGAGAGCCACCGTGGTTTAGAACCTAGCGCAACGACCCGCACAGACAGCCCGCGGGGTTCTGAACCCACCGTGAAGACCCGTGTAGAGCATGGCTGTGAGCCCACTGTGAAGGATGGCATGTTCAAGGCGCCCGCTGCAGCCACCCTCAGTAGAAGAGCCACGGCGGCGACTGAGACACCGGTGGCGGCCTCTGGCGGTCTGTCGCGCGAGGAAGATGCGTCCGTCATTGCTGGCCTCCTCGCCGGCACGCCCGCCGCTCACATAGACTACAGTCTCACCAACAGCTTTGCTCCACCGTTCGTCTCGACGGCCGTCAAGAAGCCGCCGCGCACGCCCGCTGCGACGTTTGCGCCCGCTGTGCTGCTGCATGCAGAGGGCGCCGGCGTAGCTCCGACCCCGGCGAGGTTGACCTCGTCGCTGCTGGCGACGCCGCAGGTGCACCGGCGCTGCGCGGAGGCACGCGCTGTCAGCGCCCCCATCAGGACTCCGCTGGCGATGAGAAACGCCGCGATCAGCTACACGGTGGCACAGCACCTGTCAGGGGTGGCTAAACCCGCCCACCGCCCGCTATTTGAGGACACAATCAACCTGTCAAGCGCGTTGCCACCGACGCCGACCGTGGGCCTGCAGGCGCTGGAAGAGAAGCTGTTTGAGCGGTACCGGAGTGACGTAAGGATTTTGTATAGCATAACTCTGATTATCAAAAATGCATGTGATGTGACGATTTTAAATCGAGTTTAAAAGAAAATTTGATTATTGGAAAGCACTTCACTCACATTAATCTTTAGCAAAGCAGTTCCCATACTTTTTTTGGTACCACTCAAATTTGCAATCAAAAGGTCCCCTCAACCCTCTTGCTCAACGTATGTATACAAACATATTTATTTTTTTTGTTGATAAGAAATGTAGCTTCCGGTTGCGTCCAGTGTTATAAAATTTGCATGTTAATAAACCACTGATAACAAGCATGAAACTCTAATAAAGCTTCTATACTACTGCTACACTTTCTTTCACAGCAACCGAAGGTACAGCCTGAAAGGGAACAAGTGTCTTTCGACAAGACTAAAACCTGTACTGCTAGCAATGGCTCCTCTCGTACACTGAGACAGAGCCCTAAGGAAATACCCACTCTTCTTGCTCAGGTAATGAACTGTACGAGTCATACGTGCACCTTGACCTTACCATACAAATATATTATATCATATATTCACAAGATCATTCATGCGATGTCTACTCATCACAGCACTGTTATCAGTTGTGCAAATTTGACATGCTTTATCAGAGGTGATATGGCATGGCCCCATGTATGGGAAATTTCCACGAAATCAATGCAGTGTTATCAGTCATGGAGCTCTTATGACGCAGGTAGTGCTGACACGATGGTCGGGAGCACCTTGCGCTGTAAACACGTGGGCGTAATCACACGAGAACGTAGCTCGACTGTTATCTGTGTTGCACCCTTTTTACGGCTAGGTCAACGTTGATTGTTACCCCTGTCACACATCATTTACGCCTCCTCCGACCAAGGTCTATGCAATCCTAGTAAGCAGACCTCTTGATCGCCCACTACATATGCACGTAGGTGTGATGGCACGTGTAAGAACTTAATAGCCTGACTGTTACCTCCGACACCTACATTTTTTGGCTCCGACAGCCATCGATGCAATTGTTACGAGGCGGCTTCCTCCCTCGCCTACCGCGTCCTGCGTATGCGCATGCAAATTCGTCACCGCTGCCTGCACAGGTCACGCTGCAGCAGTCGTCGCAGAGGTTTCACGACGTGCTGTTGGACGAGGAATGCGCGCTGCACATGTGCTACCAGCTTCCGGCGGCCGGCAGCACCCGCTGTCGAGACCCTGTCGCCACCATGCTGTTCATGGGAGATGATATGGTATGAACGAACAGTCCGTATACTAGTATATACTACTGGTAGTACTACACTAGTATATATATATACAGTCCGTATAGCTGCTATATTGTACCAGTACTTTGACCTGCCAAACTGTAATGGTTCATAGGCAGCTCTAGCAAACCAGGGTTGTTAAGAAGTGTTATAAAAACAATGCTTAATAATGATGTGCCACTAGATCATCATTTTGGTGTACCCTGCATAGAAACTGGTTAGCTTTACTGAGGGTGTCGAGAGTGTCTCTATCAGCCGGACAAGTCGGGCCACTGAATGGAATCGTGCACACGTTTCTGGTTTTTTATCTCGAACCTTTAAGTTCGTGTTAGTGTGACAATATTGATCGACTAAAACTGTAGCTAACTGGTTTGTATGGCATGTTTTTTGTTTCATAATTCGATTTTAGTTTTATGGTTGGTTTGATCACATATAACATTCGATTTATCACATATAACATTTGATTTATTACATATAACATTCGATTTATCACATATAACATTTGATTTATTACATATAACATTCGATTTATCACATATAACATTTGATTTATCACATATAACATTTGATTTATTACATATAACATTCGATTTATCACATATAACATTCGATTTATCACATATAACATTTGATTTATTGCATATAACATTTGATTTATCGCATATAATATTTGATTATTTAATCATATGTTATATGCAATAAATCGACAATAATTCCCTGTTTTAAATGTTCACATTATTTGATTTTATATCAGAAAAGAGAATCAAACCATTCGATCCTGGCATCAAACCATTCGGTTTTGGAATCGAATCATTCGATCTGCGAATCGAACCATTTGATTCTGGAATTGAATCATTCGATTCACGGATCGAATGCTTCGATTCACGGATCGAATGATTCGATTCACGGATCGAATGCTTCGATTCACGGATCAAATGCTTCGATTCACGGATCGAATGATTTGATTCACGGATCGAAAGATTCGATTCACGGAATTATGTGCTTTCCGGCTGGCCGGCTCTGTCCTGAGCCACGCCTCACTTTGATCTCGGGCCCGACCGCTGACCTTCCCGTCTCTGTTTTGTACATTCCCCCGGACACCGGTTGCGTTCCCGCATCGTCATCACTTCCCTC